AAAAAAAAAAAAAAAAAAAAGAATCTCTTGCAGGCTCCGACTCGGGCCCCAGGAACCTGAGCTGCTACCGAGTGTTCAACGAGGGCCACTATGAGTGTACCTGGCAGTACGATGGCCCCGCAGAGGCAGTCAGCTACTTCCTGAGGTGCTGGTGAGGACTCTGACACAGTCCTCCCAACCCACCCCTCAAGCACTGGCTCCTGCCCTCCCACCAGGCACCCACTTGCACGGAAGTGATGGGCCTGGAACGGTGCCCTCCCCACGCCGGTCCTGGTCTTATCTAAGGAAGGCGGAGGGGGTTGTGGGGGTCAGTGTGGGGGTGGCCACAAGGATCTCTCTGGTGTTTCTTTCACCCACATCCTCCCCCATCCATCCGTTTATCCATCCATCCATCCACTCATCTATCCATCTAGCCAACCCTCACAGACCTGTCCACCCATCCATGCATGCATGCAGGCATCCATCCACCCATCCATCCTTTCACCCACCTATCCATCCACCTATCCATCTGTCCATCCCCGTATCTACCCACCTATTCATCCACCCATCCATCCACCTATCCATCTGTCCATCCCCATATCTACCCACCTATTCATCCACCCTGCATCCACCCATCCATCTGTTCACCCATCATTCCACTCACCTATCCATCCACCCAGCCACCCACCTACCTGTGCATCTATCCATCCATCCATCCATCCATCCATTTCTTCCTTCGATGTACACTAGCCCAGGATGGGAGATTTGGGGGTCTCTCAAACTCCTGAATTTTAGGCTCATTTCCCAAAACCTCAAGGCTGGGGAGAATGGTTTTAGAGAGGGATAGAAAAGGCACACCCCTTTAATCCCAACTACTTAGGTGAACCTGGCGTGGTGGCGCACGCCTGTAATCCCAGCATGCGGGAGGCTGAGGCAGGAGGATCATTGCAAGTTTGAGACCAGCCTGGGCTACAAAGTGAGCTCAAGGCCAGCCTGAACTGCATAGCGGTCAAAAAGACAAAAAAACCACAACTACTTAGGTGGCTGAGGCAGGAGGGTCACATGTTTTTTGTTTTTTGCGGGGGTGAGGGCGGTTGTCCTGGGAACCAAACTCCTGCTTGCCAGGCATGCACTTATGCCACTGAGCTACATCCCCGGCCCAGGATCACCTATTTAAAGCCAGCAATTTGGAAGACTGTCTCAAATGCCCGATACTAGGAAACCAAAACCAAACCAGGGGGAGAGAAAAGGGTGGTGGGGAGAGCCGGCCCGGCGCGGGCTCAGCGGCGCCGCTTCCTCCCGCAGCCTCGGCGGCGGCGCGGGGCCCTGCTGCTACATCCAGGCGGGCGCGGCCACGCGGCTGCAGTTCTCCGACCAGCACGGCGTGCCGGTGCTCCGCGACGTCACGCTCTGGGTGGAGTCCCGGGCCGCCAACCGGACGGCGAGGTCGCCGGAGGTCACGCTGCGGCTGCACGAGTGGGGTCAGCACCGTCCGCGGGTCTCCTCTCCCTTCTCCCCACCGGGGCGCTGAGTGGGGCGCGGGCGGGGGCGGGGGCAAAGCCCAGGAGCGTGCGACCCAGCTGGGGGAGCATCACCTTCGGCGGGAAACTTATGGGCAGCAGAAAAACTGAGTCGATAGGAACAATATTGTGTTGTGATACAATTGCTTTATTTATTTATTTGCTTATTTAGTCTTTCTGAGACAGGTCTCGCTGCGCAGTTCAGGACGGCCTTGAGCTCACTTTGTAGCCCAGGCTGGTCTTGAACTCATAATGATCCTCCTGCCTCAGCCTCCCAAGTGCTGGGATGACAGGTTTACCCCACCAGGTCCAGCTTGCACGGCAGTTTTTTATTTGTTTTTCTTGAGGAGACCTGGGGAATAAAACCTGGGGCCGCACATGTGCTGGACAAATGCTCACCCCTGAGCCACACTTCCAGCCTATAATACAGTGTTCTGAAAAAAAAAAAAAAAATCTAGAGCTGGGCTTGGTAGTGCACGCCTGTAATCCCAGCACTTGGGAGGCTGAGACAGGAAAATTGCTGCAAGCTTGAGACCAGCCTGAGCTCCATGGAAAGTTCAAGGCCAGCCTGAACTACATAGCAAGACTTTGTCTCAAAAAAAATCTAAATGGATGCAAAAAAAAAACAAATCCATGGCCAGTGAAATCTTGACGTGTTACATAAGGCCGAGTGTGAAGATACACACCTGTAATAACAGCTACTTTGGAGGCTGAGGCAGGAGGATTGCAAGTTCAAACCCAACCCAAGGAATGTGGTGAGACCGTCTCAAAATAAAAAGTGGAAAAGGACTGGGGGCGTAGCTGTGTGGCAGCGCGCCTGCTTAGCATGCGTGAGGCCCCGTGCTCCACCCCCAGCGCCAGGAGAGGGAAGCCAGAGGTGACAGATGGCAGGTGCTCAGCACAGTGATGCAGGGTCTGCTGAGATTAAGTCCGCGCACACACAGCAGGTAACTGCAGGAGGTGGTGGGCGCGTTCACGAGCTCCTTAGAGCAGTCATGTTGTTGTTGACATGCACAGCAGCAAGTCACGCCATACACTTCACACAATAGGGAGGAGGAGGAGGGGATCAGGTATGGCTTGATCAAGGTGCAACCAGTTATTTATATCTCTTGTTAGTCAGGCTTCTTGCAATGGGTCTAGCTTAGATTTCCAAAAAATACAGTCAGTTATCCCCTGCCCCACAGTTTGCCAAAGTTCCTGTCTGGCTACAGCTCTTCTGGGCATGAACAGTAATAGGTACAGGCATTTGCACTGCCAGGAGGCTATGTGTAAATCTTCTCCCTTGACAGTTTTTGTTTTTTTTTCATTGAGTACCTGGGATGGAACCCAGGGCCTTCACACTGAGCTACATTCTTAGCCCTTTTTATTTTCTACTTTGAGACGGGATTTTGCTAAATTGTCCAGGCTGGGCTTAAATAATGGGACTCTCCTGCCGCAAGTGACCTCCCGATGGCTGGGGGTCACAGGTGTGCCCGGCCTCTGGACTGCTTGGATCACAGCATTCTGGGCTCGGCTGGCACCCGGGAGGGCCTCCCACTGTCCCTTGGGACGCAGTTGGTTCCCCTGGGCCAGGCGGGGCAGGGGCAGAACTCCCAGCTGCCCTTCCCAGCGGCCCCTCTGCTTCCAGTGAGATACGACCCCCCGCAGAGGGCGGCCAGGGCGTCGCTGTCGCCCCGGGGGCTGAGGATGGTGTGGGAGACCCCTGAGGACAGCGCCCAGGTGCAGTTCCAGCGTCGCAGGCCCAGCGGCTCGTGGGAGTTGGTGAGTTTGTTTCCTGGGCCAAAGGGGATGCAGACTCTCTCCGGGCAGCCCACCCCTACGGCTGCCGGCCCCCAGCTGGCCTCCTCGCCCCATGTGCAGCCCCGCGGGGCTCGGGGACACACGGTTCCTGGCCATGAACCCTCTGTGGCTCCCTCTTACCCACGGCAGCAGGCAGCCCTCAGCCTCGTGCTGCCACTGGCCATGCCGTCCCCGCACTGCGTGCCCTGCTCCTTGTCCCCGCTCCGGCCTGGGCGCACGCGGGTCCCCCAGGCCTTCAGGTTCCGTCTCATGGGGCTGCCATTTCCAGGCCGCAGCTCAGATGCCACGTCCTGCCCAGCCTCAGTTTCCCCAGAAAGTATGGCCTGAGACCAGGCAGGGGCTGGGCACGGGGGACACGGGGAAGCTGCAGCCCAGCCGGGGCGCCTCGGTGACTCAGGAGACCCTGTGTCTAAAGGTGAACAGGGCAGAGCGCAGCGCAGTGCCAAGGCCCCGGCTTCACAACCCAGCCCCGTAGAAAAGATGGAAAGGTGTTTGGGTTTTTGTTTCTTTGTTTGTTTTTGTCTTTGTCTTCTTGAGAGACGGTCTCGCTATGCAGTTCAGGCTGGCCTCGAACTCGCTTTATAGCCCAGGCTGGTCTTGAACTTGCGGTGACCCTCCTGCCTCAGCCTCTGAGTGCTGAGATTACAGGCGTTCACCACCAGGCCTGACAAAACGAGATGGAAAGGCGGGAAGAAGGCAGCTGGTTTTTCACACTCGCGCGTGTGTTACAAACGATCGTGGTCTCTTTCCAGGGTTTCTGTGGACCGCAGGACGAGCCTGGCCTAGGTGAGCGTGACGACAGTGACAGCGGCTGCTCCAGTAAGCACACATTGAGCGCCGACTGTGTGCGCCTGGCCAGGGCCCTGCGGGCTGCCGTTGCCGGGCTCTCGGCAGCGAGGGTGCCCGCTAAGCTCAGGGGCCCGATGCCCGCCCCTTTGCAGAGTCCTGCCTGTGCCCGCTGGTGGACGTGGCGCAGGAGTTCCAGTTCCGGTGGCGGCGGCTCCGGTCTGGGGTCCCAGGGGGCCCCTGGAGCGACTGGAGTGGCTCGGTGTGCGTCCCCCCTGGTGAGCAGCGGCGGGGCTGCGCTGAGGCAGCCGGCCGGGTCACAGCGACCTCGCCTGGGGCCAGGGCTGCGGGCGGGCCCTTCTTCGCTTCTTCCTCAGTCTCCCCGGGCACTGGGGTCCCTGCCCGCCCCATCGCGGGTCTGTCTGTCCCTTGCAGAAAACCCCCCGAAGCTCGCCGTGACGCTGCAGGTGGCGGGGCTGGGCCAGGACGGGCTGCGGCAGCTGACCGTGCATGGACAGGTGATGGGCGTTGTGGGGGCGCCGGGCCTGGTGAGGCGGGTAGCCGGGAGACCCAGACTGCGTGTGAGCAGAACGGGGCGCTCGGGACACAGGCCACCCGGCGCCCCCAACCCTGGGGCTGGGGTGGAACCCGCAGCCTTCCCACTGAGCAGCACCCCCAGGCCTTCTTACTTTTTATTGAGACTGGGTCTTGCTAAGTTGCCCAGGCTGGACTCAGACTTGTGATCCTCCTGCCTCAGCCTCCCATGTGTTGGGGTCCGGCTTGCCCCCGTCCACCGGGGCAATGGAGTGCAGGGTATTAGATAGAAGTTACAGGCCAGGAAGGAGGTGACATTTGGCCCAAGTGGCAGAGCTTTGCCTAAGGTCCCCAAGTGACTCAGCAGCAGGAGGCTAATGAGCCCTGGTGTATAGAGAGGGAAGCTGAGGCACAGAGGGGTGTCACTTTTAGGGAAGCTGAGGCACAGAGGGGTGTCACTTTTTGTCAGGGACAAAACTGACAAATCCTTCCACTTTTAAACATTTAACTTTCTTCTAACTCAGGTTCCTACTGGCTGTGGCTGGCACATGTCTGTGATCCCAGCACTCGGGAGGCTGAGGCAGGAGGATCGTCCCAAGTTCAAGGCCAGCCTGGACTACTTAGTGAGACCCTGCCTCAACCCCACCCTCCACCCCCAGGCCCGGGGATATAGCTCAGTGGCACAAGTGCCTGCCTGGCAAGCACAAGGTCCTGAGTTCGAGTCCCAGTACCAAAATTATATATATATATATATTGCAGTTCATTTTTTAGGATAATTTCTGGGCTTCGGTAACTGGCTCCAAAATGCTTTTTCCTGGATCTCTGGGCTTTGTTCACTCTCTCCAACGCTGCCGTGCCCGGAGATGAGCGCGCCCCCCCCACAGCTGCGGTGCCCGTCCCCACGCGTCCTGTTCCCCACAGCTGCCGCCGCCCGAGCTCCCCAAGGGCTGCCCGGAGGCCCCGCCCGGCGAGGAGCTCACCTACTTCCTGCGACTGCACATGCGGTCTTGTCCCTGCCAGGCCAAGGCTGTGCGGACCCTGCACCTGGGCAAACGCAGGCTGTTCCTCTCGGGCGGCGCCTACGATGTGGCTGTCATCTCCTGCACCCGCCTGGGCCCGGGCCCAAACCAGACATGGCACGTTCCCGCGGTGCCCGCCGCCACCCACGCAGGTGCCTTCTCGGGCCGGGTGGGGCGGCACGCGGGGCCTCAGCTTGGTCAGGGTCACAGGTTCAGTGATTGAAGCACATAGGTGAACTGGGGCGAGAGCCTAGCTCTCAGGAGGCTGAGGCAGGAGAATCTCAAATTTGAGTTCAGCCTGGACTCTATAGAAAGCCTGTGTCTCAAAAAAAGACAATGTTTCCTCCCTCCCTCCTTCCTTCCTTCCCCCCTTCTGTCCATCCTTCCTTCTGTCCTTTCTTCCTTCCTTCCCTCCTTTCAGACAGGCTTTCACTCTGTAGCCCAGGCTGGCCTTGAACTCACAGGGATTCTCCTGCCTCAGCCTCTCAAGTGCTGGGACTACAGGTGGCACCACGGCGCCCAGCCTCTGGTGGCTCAGGAAGTTGGGTGGTGGTGCACAAGGGCGTGGCCAGCGGAGGCCCCGTTGGGGACCCGGGTCAGGCTGGGAAGGGGGTGACGGAGGGTGGGGACTGCAGGCTCAAGCCAGGGCAGCCGTCCCAGGTGACTCCTGTGTCCCCAGGCCCCGGGGCCCTGAGCATCGGTGCGGGGGCCAACGGGACGACAGTGAGCTGGGAGGTGTGGGCCCCGGGTGTGACCCACTGCGTGGAGTGGCAGCCGCACGGCCGGGACGCCGCCCCCGACTGCCTGCTGCTGTCGCCGCGGGACCCGGGCCCGGCAGGATCAGGTTGGGCTCAGGAGGGCGCAGCCTCTGCATCCGGCCTGCATCCTGGGGAGCCTGGGGACGAGTCGGCTGGGTGGGTGTGCAGGCAGTGGAGCCATCACTGCATCCCCAGGACACACCTTGGGAGACAAATCACACAGCCCTGGGTTTGCAAACACCCCACAGGGAGGTGGTGGAGGGCAAGGCGCTCGGGACGCTGTGATGAAGCCGGGAGAAGTGGGTGGTGTGGCCCAGGTAGCTGTCGCCCCCCTACTTCCTGCACTGGGCCTGACTGGAGGCCCAAGGTCACAGCCTCAGCCTGCACCTCGGGGAGCCTCCGGCCTGAGGGAACACAGCTGGGTACAAACAGCCCTGTCCCCAAACAGCAGATGAGGACACACAGAGAAGGTACACAGGAAACTGATCCTCAAGGGGCATTGGTGCAAGGGCTTTGAAGCATGAGTAAGAGTTTTCCAGGCCTTTCTAGCAGATGGTGAGGGCAGGGCAAGCTCCAGAGGTCGGATCTCAGTCTAGTCGGTGGCTGAGCACTTGCTTGTCCTCCCAGTGACGCATAGCTGGAGCCCGGGCCCAGGAGGGGGACAGGAGCAGTGTTACAACGTCACCGTCTTCGCCTCTGTGCACCCCGACAAGCCCACAGCATGGTCAACTGTGCTGTCCACCTACTACTTCGGGGGCGACGGTGAGTGGCCCTCAGTGTCCGGGAAGGGCGCGAGGCCCTGCCGGAGCGGGCGCACGGAAGTCGGCTCACAGGCGGCGCCCGCTTTACAGTCAGGAGAGCCGCCGGGCTCGGGTCTGTGCGGGCGGGGCACACGGGGCTTCGCGTCCGGGGTGACGGAGCCTCCTGCGTTGCAGCCTCGGTGGCCGGGATCCCGCCGCGCGTGTGGGTGGAGAACTGCAGCGAGCGCTCGGCCG